AGTTCAGAAGCCTCACTACTGCGTGCGCAATTAAAGCATATTAAGCTTCTGTTAGTGATTTGGTTATCAAGTGTTACAACATGTGGTCTTTTCAGAATGACATGTAGATAGCTCGTGGATGCTCTGAGACTGTAGAGTGTTCCTGCATAAGCAGCTTCAATAGTTAATTACAGTGATTGTTTGTAAAACTTGCACCTGTTTCTACTTTCAGATTCTAATTATTAGGCCTATTTATGGTTCTTGCTGACAAAAAAGTCTAACCACAGATTCTTTTAATAATATGGCTTGTTTTATAGCTACTGGTGTAGTGTCATGGTACTTGAACCTCTGTCTTGAGACTTTAGACTAAGCTTGTTGAGGTGACTAGAAGGAAGCAGCAGCTTTCTGTTAGGTAAGGTTTTTGAAGATTTACTCAAAATACGCTCTATTTTAAGAAGCAGGGCAGGGGGATGATTGGGTGGGTAGTTGCATAGGGAAACTGACACATTTTGGTATGTGTTTATGCTGGGATTCCTTCCAGTCATATTTTTAGATTGATCCTTTCTGAGGTCTCTCTTCTTTAACTCTTGAGTATTTGGATGTAGTGCTATCTATATACGTTAAACTGTTACTGACTCTTTCTTGTGCTGGATGGGGAGCTTCTTGGTGTTTGGGTGTGACTGGGGGGGGGGAGGTGTCAGCTGCTCACACATTTCCAATCTTCCCATTCTCTTAACTTTATTCTGTATTTTCACTTAGTTCTTGTTGCTTAAGAACTCGGAAGAAACATGTGGTATTGGTATTTAGCTGTGTGAATTTTTTTTTTTTTCCTTCCATTAGGGTCATATACTTGGTAAAGAATGTCTTCAGCTGGAATGTAGAATATGACATTTCTTGTAGCTCATGCTGTCCATCATTGGTAATTGCATAGAGAATATCTGTCTGCAGAAGAAGGTCTTGTACTAGCTCCTGTAAACTCCCTCAAATACCTGTTGACCTTTCTCTTCATCTTACTGTTTTCTTATGTTTGTCTCAAAATGTCACTTCCTGGAAGACTTGGAGCTGATCATAGAGTTAGTGCTAGAATTTTTCATCTCTATTGAGTCTCCGTGTATTTTCTTCACTTAGCTATTCTGTGGGGTGACTGAAGGAAAGTAGACTGTCATTCAAACCTCCTTAATGACTCTAATTGGGTTATAGTGCTGTAGAAATCAGCAGCTTTTGTATGTTTACATAGTGGTTCCTGCAGTGTAAACAGACATGAGTTCAAAACTTGTTTTCTAATTTATGGCTGTTTCATGCAGTTTGAATCTAGAAATAAATTAAGTTGGTAGAGTCATGGAGATTTTGTTATTACTTTTGTATGCAGCACCTGGGACTGAAAATTCAAAGGAAGGGTAAAGGCAAAATCCTCATGGCATTTGATTTTGATGGTGCAAAGTCCTGAGGGTGCACAAAGCACATCACCAGTGACTCATTTTAGTGAGTCAGAATCACTATAACTACTCAGACATCATTAATCTTTTTCACACAGGGGACATGTTTGGGGACATGCATGTTAACCACGGGTTTTACCAAAAACATTTCTATTTATGAATAAAGCACACTCAGTGTAAAGCATCCTCTTCAAATTTGGTTGAACATCCTTTTGTTAAGGTCTGAGATACATTTGTACCCTGTTCTTCTAAAAATTCTTTTTTTTCAGTGATGGTTGATCCTTTGCAAAAAGAATTTCAATATCTATTAACAAAATGTTAGTAGATCTAATCAGAAGGTAAAGGCTGTCACTTGCCTCCAGAAACTGAGTTTTGCAAATGAGAAACGTACCTCCAAAATACATTACCCCCACACTGAAGTATTTTTATTCTGAAATGTTCAGTAACATTTCCTATTTCTCATTCTTTATAAGCCGTCTCTTTGGCTCCTGTACAGCGTGCTGTCTCTTGGTGCGAACATGACTGTGGGGAATGATGTCTCGTTCTGGTGACCTCATTTTCATTCTCTCTAGCTGCATCTTACACAGAGCCCTCTACTAGCCTTGGAAAAGCTTTCCAGACTACAGGACTATGGTTGCCACAATAGAATTGAGTAACTTTTACAGGAATACAAGAAAGTTATTTTCCCCCATAAATGGGTCATAGTAGAAGTAAAAGTTATCCTAAATAGTATTACTTTTATTTTCTCTCTTTAGACTAGTCTTTTGCCACTTTCAAAGTTGTTTCTTTGCTTGACAGTGGAGGGATAGGACTGTTACTATTCAACACTGTTAATGAGCTTGGATTTGATAGTCAAAAGTGAGGAGCTCAGTCCTTCATTTTTTCTTGTTTGTGAGAAATACTAATGTGATATGGGTAACATTGAGAAAAGCGGCTTAAGAACTTCAGTTTGAACACTTTTCAGTCAGTGCATCTTTTAAAACATTGCATGGTATTTCTGGCACTGAAATATTGAGAAGTAATAATCCTATATTTTTTAAAAAAATCCAAACCTAATAGCACTTACAAAAAATGTAAGGGCTAATAAAACACTCTTTATGTAACAATGGATTTTGCTGAGAGCATTTATGTTTAGCAATAATATAATTTAGTAATAATACACAGAAAATGAATGTGTAATGGCTAGATTGTCCATAGAGTAAAGGAAGAAGTAATTCACAGAATCATCAAGGTTGGAAAGGACCTTCAAGATCATCAAGTCCAACCGTTAACCCAACACCACTATGCCCCCTAAACCATGTCTCGAAGTGCCCCATCCAGACGTTTTTTGAATACTTCCAGTGGTGGTGACTCCACCACCTCCCTGGGCAGCCTGTTCCAATGCTTCGTAACAAGTGTTTCCTGGAAGTGCCATGTTTGCATTGCAGTTGCACAGTTATGGTATTGGTCGCATTATAGGAGTGGACGTGTTCAAAAAACGTGTAGATGTGGCACTTCAGGACATGGTTTAGTGGGCATGGTGGTCTTGGGTTGACGGTTGGACTTGGTGATCTTAGAGGTCTTTTCCAACCTTAATGTTTCTATGTTGTAGTACCACGGCTTTCCCGCCCGCATACTATGCGCATTGGCCTGTAAACTGGGAAGTTATTTTCTGCATGACATCAAGTTATGTCAGACTTCGACAAATTGAGAATAAAATGTGTGTCTAGAAAAAGTCCTTGTTCGAGCTTTTGACCCCAAGCTAAAGACTGGAGCAGAGATGTATAAATTTTAACTTAAAAATATACTGGATGTTTATGAGATAGCAGTCAGGGCTAATACATTGGGGGGTTGAACTGTGAATTTCTGGAACTAAAAGCTTGATTTATTGCACTTTGACTTAAAATCAGCTCTCCTTAGGCAGAGGACTGTAGCAGTCAAACCTTACACAAAATGGACCAGTCTGGTGGAATTGCTCTGATACTATTGTATCATAACTATGTAAGCTATTCATTATTAGCTTCGTTCTTTAAGCTTTTTTTGGTAAAGGAGAAGCAGTGCTCTATAATAGACATGACATGATCTTGATCTGTCAGATTAATAAAAACAGTTCTATTATATTTGCAAAGCTCAGTAAGATTTGTCCATATTGCCAAATATTCCAGCACAGCACCCCAGTGAGTTACTTTAAATGTATTTAAATCCTGGAAATGTTATCGGTTTATCATTGACTTTGTCAAACATTTTTAATAACCTTTGTAGGAAAAATAGCCCGATTTAAATACGTAGTTACATTCCTATTTTTGTTGTCAATGCTTGGTTAACAGTTGTCTTGTGTTTATTTTTTTCTGCAAACTTTGGATTGGCTTTTAAATGCAGTTGGACTGATGATCACTGTAGGTACCTTCTAACTAAGCTTTTCTATTCTAATTCTCACATATCAAATGGTGGTTGCTTCTTTTCATTGGTATTCTTTTCATGTTAGTATACTGGAAAAAACATGTGATAAGAGTCAGGTGGCTCAGTTCCTCTTGAAAGCAGTTAGGCCAAGCTTGGTATTTCTTACATGGCTTGCTGCTTGCCTTCTTTCCTTTCCATTACCTACTGTAGTCTTAACACTCTGAGGAAAAAGTATTTTTGCATGGGGAAAGAAACAGGGAAGGAATGCGCTTTTTGTAACTAGTGCTTGTGTTAAATACCTACAACTATTTTTGCTTACATTAGTCATTGAGCAACTCTATATTTTAAAGAAGCCTGAAACAGTTGTGTTATATTGAGTGTCTGATGTGTATCTTTTTGATGCCTTGAAATATTTTAGGTTTGGAATGGGCCATTTTTGTCTGTTGTTAGAATAACCTCGTTTAACCCAGACTTTAAAACAGCACTCTTCATTTTGTGTGTGAATCTAAAAACTTTTATTGATCGTTGAAGATCATGATGGAAGATTGTGCTTAGAACCAAGATGATGTTGATTTTGTTGACAAGGAGTTTCAAAATCATGCTTTACTGAAGGGTCTTATGTTCCTAAATGGCTTTTTAATTAACTCCACATTTAACTTTTGAGGTTTATGGACTGATTGGAACAAAACGAATTCTGAATTCAAGACAAAACATGCTGTAGTGGGGTTTGCAGCTCACCTCATTGTTAGTAAAAGGAGTGCCTGTGACTTTTTTTTGTAGTGGTTGCCTTCAGATCTTGACAAGTTGTGTACCATGTATTTATTGTGCAGAAGGTGAGGAAGAACCCTTTTGGTTGGTGTGTGTTTGTTTTTTTTCTTAAATTGAATGACTGCTAGATGTGCTTCTGCATATCCTGTAGTTGACGTACAGGATGTAGGGCTTTTTCTCTCTAAATTCTTGAGTAGACAAGCAAAGGTGCTGAGATATAATCTAGAAGACCCCTATGATACATTTTTCTACAACAGTGTTGCTGATGTGTGTGCTCTTCTTTTGGGGTTCATGGCAAACTTAGTGTAGGATTGTGTGCTAATGTAATTAAGTAAACCTGTCTGAATCATTAGAATTACTTAGAGTAAACCAACTTGGGATGTGGCTCCTGTTTTGAAGCTGCAGTTTGTTTATAAGCAATGTATTTTTAGTAATGAGATGCTGACTAGCATTTGTGTCTCCAGAGAAGAAGAGGAACGTCTGAGAAATAAGATCCGAGCAGATCATGAAAAGGCTCTGGAAGAGGCTAAGGAGAAACTGAAGAAATCACGTGATGAGATTCAAGCTGAGATTCAGACAGAAAAGAACAAAGTAGTGCAAGAGTTGAAAAAGAAAGACAGCAAGCCACTGCCCCCTGTTCCTTTACCAAATCTTATAGGGGTAAACAGTGGAGAACCAGCAGACCTGGATATCAGAGAGAAGAGGAACAAAATTAAAGAGGTAAAGATGATGATGTCCTACCTATTCTTGTCTCTGATAGCAGTTATTTATGTTGTTCAGTTGCTGTTACAATTTATATTTATTAAAAAAAAAAAAAAAGAAAAACAGGACTACAATTCTTTTTAATAAACAGTAAGCTAAAAGTGCACATCAAGTATTAATGATCATCAGGATTATTGCATGTTTTTTCCTGGTGTTGGGGTGTAATATTTCACTGGGTAACAACTTAAAAATGGTTTTAAGGCTTTCTTCAACTTAGTGGTATGGGTTCAAAGGGAGTTTGTCACTAACACATGGAATAGCAACAAGTGCATCTTTAAAGTAGAGCCTGAATTTGTCAGGTTCCATTCAAAGAATGGGATATGGTAGTGTGTCACAAGATATTTTTAAATGTTTAAACAGTGGATTGAAAAGATAAGAAAAAAACCGGCCTGCTGGTAAAATGTGCAAATTACCAAATTATCACATACTTTTCAAAGTAAGTTTTAAATGGGTCTATAAAAACTAGAAGTTCATTTGATAGAGCTCATAGATTGCCTCATTTACCTGTAAAACATTAAAGCTAAGATGTTGGTTTAGGCTTCTGGTTCTGTGGCAGCTTATGCTATGGGAATTGCAGTTTCTGGTCTTATGCTTTCCACTCCTGGGTGGCCATAAGATTCCTATTATTGTTGCCAGGCATTTTTCTGAGTCTGTATGTCTAACTAGGATGGCAGAAACATTGTACAGCCCTTTTCTTTTTCTTTCCTGTAGTCTGATTTGTTTTATGCCTAAAAAATCGGGTTAGCAAGCAGGAATAGGTCAGGCCAGAGGTAGACAAGCACAGGCTCTGTAATTAAAGAGCATCCAGGACCACAGCACTTAGTAGTTACATCAGTTAAGTCTGCTTTTAAATTGTAATCTTAGTTTAGTTAACTCATAAAACCCCCCAAAAATAAGTCAATCATACACCTGCCCTTGTAGCAGGGGGGAGTTGCACCTGGAGTATGTGCCATGCTGCAGGTAGGTCACTTAAGTTGGAGTTTTAATTGGAATATTAATGATGACTAGATGAAATCCATTCTTATGAAATAATGAACACCTGCTTATGATGCATGAATGGTACAGCATAGAGCTTTATCACTATTTGAATCTCTCAAGTAGCACATTCTTCCCTGGAAGGTGTGCCTGTTCTGTTAGTGACTACACTAACAGTGGAGAAGCACTTTTGAATGAGAAAGTTGTGTGTGGAATATTGGACCCTCTTGACCCTGCTTGGCTAGGGCTATTTCTCAAAGGACAGCACTGAATTGTGGATTTCAGAAGGCTCTACTGCCTCTCAAAACTCTTGTCCTCACACATATTCAGTGAGAATGTACAGAGAAGCTTACTTTTCAAAATGTCTTCTGTAGGGTAAGGATGAACAGTGAATGGTATGGTCATGTACTTGTCAACGTTTCTTTATTTTAACTACAGATTAGTGTATTTAAATACCTTTGAGTTTGCCACTGATGGATTTAAAGGGTAGAATAAAACTGAGGTGACCAAGTAATGTGAAAGTACTGAGCATAGCTAACAGTGAAGAACTAGGTGGAAGAAATAATCAACTGAAGTTCCTATAGATCAAGCCTGGAATTGGAGGGACGGTTGAAAATTAGTATTTGCATTTCTGAAGTGGTTTGGTCAGAATGTAGACCGAGAGGAGATGAGAAGCTATAGGTTAGTACAAAATGGCAGTTTTCTTGGTGACATGGATAAGTAGTGAAGTTTGGACAATTCTTGCTGACCTAAAGCTGAAGGTATAGCAATTTGTGAGTAAGGAGTCCAGGGTAGTTTGTGAGGATCACCAGGTAGTAGTAACTCTGGTGATCCTTATCTGCAGTTACCACAAATCTCGTGCTGCAAGAGGCTTACTCTTTTATTTGGTGATCAGCCTATGTGTGAGTCACACTGACAAGCTGGTTTTTTATTGCATAACTTATTGATGGCTCCTGTTGTAGTATTTATGTCTTTGTTGTGTGAATTGCCGTCATTGAGTCAGTCTTGTTAATATTGCAGCTATCGGGTGATCTCCAGAATTTTTAAATTCTTTGATGCAGGGTAGCAGATTATCACTTCTACAGCTAGATGCATGAAGACGTAGAATACAGGAGTGCAAGGTCTGCTAGTGTGAATGGACAAATGATAATGCTGAAGAACCCATTGTTGGTACATTGTCATTTTTGATTGGCCTCTGGACTTTGGCATCTGCTATGTTGCAGTGAATATAATGTGGCTGAGATAAAACATATATTAACAGTGTCAGACTAATAATATTTTGCCTGAAACCTGTTTTTGTGTCACAGGAGGCTACAGCAATTCCAGAGATGCAAAGTGCATTTTGAAATATGTTATGATCATCACTGAGGTCTTCTCTTGTTGTTTTTTGTAGCTGGTGTAGGCTAATATAAATAGTCTTCGTAGATGAGATAAAGACTTAGCAAAAGAAGAACAAGTTCCAGGAGACAATATCTCTAACATAGGTCTACACCTAGTTTATATAGTTCTTCTGGCATGCAAGACATTATGGTTGCCTGGATTGAGACAAAAAAAATAGCACAGGGAAGCTCCTAGTTCTTTGGAGGCTGCATAGCTGGCTTCAAAATTCCAGGTGGTCCTGAGAAGGCATTTGGCTCATGCCTTGGTTTACTCTGAAGTTTCCTGATGCATGTTTGAGGAACTTGACTCTCACAGAACAGCTTTAGACTATTAAAATTGACAAAATGAATGAATTTATACAGCCTACGTTGCCTAGTATAGAATGATGAAAAACTATGTAGAATTGAGCTCACTGTTGGGGACAATTTGTAACGCACTCATGGGTCTTTACAGTTGGGAGAAAGACTGGAAAATTTTCAAATGGGGATCTAGTTTCTGTCATTTTTAAGGAAAATTTATTATTACTTTCTTTCCAAAGAATAACTTGAAGTCTTTTCTAACACATCTTTGCATAAAAAGTGGTTTTGCAGTTCTTAACTGTTTTAAAAATACATATTTTTATTTTTTTAAAAAGTGCATCTAAAGTAAAAAGAATTTGTCTAATGCTCTTAAGAGAGCTTTGTAAAGCATTTGAAAGCTTTATATAATAGGAATGGTTACTGAGCATAGAGAAGGAGGCTTCTTAAGGTCATGGAATAAACCAGGAGCAGAATCTGCATCTCTTAGTTTTGTCTTGGTGTGTCTTTTGGTTCTGATATTTATATTGGGTGTTACATGGTATTCTCAGTTGTAACTAATTCACAAAATTTTACAATTTGTCTGTATTCTTCTAACAAGCTATTAATTCAGTTATTTCAATAAAGACCATTTATGAGTTGGCTGATTATTTTAGATGCACAGTGACAACTTCGAGAAGTACGTATTTTCCACCTGCTTACCATACCTGTTTTGTAGCACTTCTCTAGTATATTAGCTTGCTGTTCTGGCTTTTAAAAAACGCTATGGCTTTTAATTAACTGGTATTTTAAGAATAAACACATCTGAAAATTATTCTTGCTACACTTTAGCTTTGTGTTAATATTTTACTGATTTTTTTTTTTCCATACCTAGTAAAAGATGAGAAAATGGTTTTATATGAGGGTAGATGTAACTTGTATAATTTTCCAAAAAGATTTTTATGATGTGTCTTTATTGTGGTTAGTGTAAAGAAATTAAGAACAAAACTTACCTTTTGGAAGTCACTGGCTTCCTTTTCCAAGTTAAATTAGATATAAATTGCATGAGCATTTGGAATTCTTGGCACTTAATTTCCATTATTGTGTCCTTTTGTGTTCAGAACATTAATTTTTTTCTGCAGTTTAAGTGTAATCATTACATAGTGCTCTCTTTAATTAGTTTTGTTTCCCTGAAGTTAAATTTTATACAGCCAAATAAGGAAAATGTTATAATTCTTTTCACCCTGCTTAGGGCTCAGGTTTTCTTTAACTTCAGCCCAAGATTTCACAATATCGTCTTACTGCCAGCGTTCATTTCAGATACATGTGTTAATAGCTTATTCCACCCAATAATGGTACTAATCCCATGCAAGATATTCTATATATACCTTGTTCTAAACATTGAAATGTTTGTTGAGTTCTTGGATCGTTAAAAAGGTGTTTGCTCTGAGAAGTGTCAAAATTATGGATGTATGAGTTTTACATACAAGTCAGTACGTATTGTATTACATACAATATCAGTTTTGCATATGTATAGACTATAGACCTCTGGAGGGGATTGTCAGGGACCCAGGGGGCTGGGTAGTGGTCTCCTTAATCCTAACAGTAAGGAGAAAGGGTGTGAGGAGAAGGGTGCTGGCAGTGCACATCAGCAGTTGGTTGTGAAACTGGGGTTGGCAACAGGCTTTTGGGTTCTACAGCCATGGGTCCCTGTTTGCAGGGTCTGCCCAAGAGAGATGGGATCCACCTCACTAAGGCAGGACAAATGCATCTTTGCCAGCAGGATGGCTGATCTTGTAAGGAGGTCTTTGAACCAGGAATGGTGGGGGAAAGAGAGAGTAACTGGCAGCACTGTGAGGCAGTGACTGAGCAGGTGGATGAGCAAAGGGCCTGCAGTGATGTAACAGAAAAGGATCACAAAATCAACAAAACAGGGCTTAACCAGGGTCACTTCTAGCATTTGCATATAAGCAAGGTAGTGCCTACAAGGCACCATTATGGAGAAATCCCCGAAACCATTTCTGGGAAATCGGCGTGCAAGGGTACCTCTCTGAAGTGCATGTACAATAATGCATGTGGCATGGGGAATAAACATGCGTGCAGTTGCAAGGCTGTGATCTTGTTGGCAATATGGAAATGGGTGGAGGTGTGGTGGGATGACTTGCATGACTGGAGTGTTGCAGTGGAAGAATACAGACTCTTCAAGAACAGGCCAGGAAAACGAGGGGGTGAAGTTGCCTTTTATGTGAGAGAGAAGCTGGAGTGCCTGGCATGGATAATGAACTGAGAGCTTATGGGTAAGAATTAAGGAGCAGACTGGTAAGCGTG